TCCCCCACCCACCCTGCATACGCTCTCTCTCTCTCTCTCTCTCCCTCTCTCCCTCTCAAGAAAAATATCATTTTAATACATCACCATAACAATATTTATTCTCAAGAAACCAACATCTCCTAAAAGCTGCAGCCTAATGCACAGATTAATCCAAATCCATCTCTAAACTTTATCGAAATTAAGTGAGGCTTCCACTTAATGTCAGATTGCAATGGTCCTAACATTTAATTTGTATCCAAAAAAAGTCAACCCAAAAGAAACTCCAAGTTAATTAAAAAACAGAAATATAACCAAGCACTTAAATCCTTTATGATCCCCAAATCAATTTTGGGATCAATTCTTCACAAACACATAAAAAAAAAAAAAAAAAAAAAAAAAAAAAAAAAAAAAAGGGGAGGAGAGTGGGTAGGGGCTATTGGGCAGTGGGGGTGTTGGAAGGGTTGGGGAAAGCCGTGGGATAATTAGGTTAACTTTTTAAAAAAAAATTATTTTATTTTATAATTTTGTTAGTTTTAAAAATATCCCTAAGTTTTTTAGTCATAAAAAATTAACATAAATGCCCTTAAACTTAATAGAATTAAATATAGGCGGTGCATTGCAACATTCTATTAAGTTCAGATGGCTAATAGTAAAAATTAAAAGTTCAGGTGGTGATCAGGTGGTGATCGTGCACACGTCTAAAAGTTCAGGTAGTATTTATGCAAATTTCCCTGACAAATATATTGACTTGAACTTTCTTGGTCTTTTAAATTGAAAACGTCATAAACTTAGGGCCCATCTGATAATCATTTCAATTTAAGTTTTCAGTCTTTATTTTTTGTGCTTGAGGAAAAAGAGGGAGAATGGAAGTGAGAATGAGAGTGGAGATGGCATTACGAAGGAATTGAGAGGAGAGGATGGGAGGCAAGAGTAACAAAAGTGAAAACAAAAACTAAAAACTTAAATCTATTTGAAATTATTTTCATTTTTGTAAGAGCGTGGAATTTTTTATATGATTATTTGGTTGCATTTATCCAGGTTTGTCAATTATAGATTGTAAGTTATTGACTTTAGTCATATGGAGTGTGAAAAGACTATGCCACGAGTTCTTCTTTTATTTTCGCTATTACTTCTTTATCGATGAAAATGACAATAAATATTATCTCTTGATGAATATATATGTTCATGAGAGGGTTACCTTCAAGTAATCTTAAATTGTTAGTTGACTTGAAGTCAAACTCGTATGTTTCTTCTATTACGACATATACAAGTATATGCAATGTCATTGTTGCCGTCGGCATCTTTTTTGATTTATTAATCTGGTGATGTTATTAATCAGGACCACTGAAAAAAAATTGATAGAACAGACATCATGACTTGGTCTTATAAAAAGTGTTGAAGAATCACCGTAACGATTTTGGAAATTAAGTAATAAAAGGTCAATTTTTTTTCTCAAACTTTTGAATATTCCAATTCTATATGAGCTGTGTGAACTGTGAAGATCAAGCACCAAACAACATAATGGAAAATTGAAAGAAATGAAACCCAAGCAAGCAATCAAATCAAACTAGTCTGTCCAAAACCCAAATCAAACTACACAAATAGAGAAAAGCAAAAATTAGGCACGGATGTATTTGGGATTGATGTACGCATATTGGATGCTAGGAATGTGGGACCCATTGCAAAAATTAGGCACTAATTTTTATAATCAGTGACATTTATCAATAGAGAGGAACCCTTTAAAATATACTGATAGTACTCAGTCTATTTTGAGCCTTTTTTTAGTAGTGTAATCGAATTGTAATAAGTATATCTTGCGGAAAATTTCTACTATTGTTTGCCTACATTAATTATGGCAATTTGCAAAGGTACGATTAATTAGAGAGCACTGTATTATTTTCTTATATAACATGCGATAAAGTGTGAATCTGTTCCACTCAATTAGAATTTTATATCATAATAATCTGAGTAAAGGACTTGATCAACTAGAAGTATGGGTCATTTACGGCAGTGACCACAGCCTATAAGAGCATTTTCAAATTTGTCTCGTTAAGCTCTACCAATTTACCAGTTAAATGTGTTTAGATTTTTTTACAAATATGGTAAAGGAAAAATGATTAGTATGAGAGCACTACTAGTCATGGTGAGATCAACTCAAATCCAACCAAATAACTTACAATAATATAATTGATAAACAAGTATAAATGCAACCAAATAATCATCAAATAAATTTCCATCCTCTTGGAATTAAGAACCCTTGTCGTCAATTCGAAACAAAAGAAAAAGGTTCTTGTCAGTTTCAGATACTAAAGTTTATGATGTTTTCAATTAAAAAGACCAAGAAAGTTAAAGTCAATATATTTGCCATTAAATTTAGGTGATGCAAAGTTGATAAATTCTCAATTTTCAAATTTAAAAAATTAATAAATAAATAAGGCTGGTGGCCTGGGACGTTGAACGGGCTTTGTAAAAGAGTAGAAGATGGGCCCTTTAACTTCCAAAATCATTACTGTGGTCCTACTATCTATTTTGTCAATTTGTTTGTTAAAAAAAGGACCATTGTAAAAAATTGATAAAACAGACGGTAGGACCATTAGTCCTATCGAAGGTGAAGTTGAAGGACCACCATAACGATTTTGGAAATTAAGAAACTAAAATGCAAATCGGGTCAAAATGTAGGAACATTGGACCTAAAAACTCATCTTCTAGGCTTTTGCAAAATCCGTTCAACGTACCAGGGCACCGACCTTTGCAAATTGAGAATTTATCAACTTTGCATCACCTAAATTTATAACCAATTTTAATTTTAGTATTTAATCATTTTTTGTGCTAGAGTATAGAGGAAAAAGAGGGATAATGGAATTGAGAATGAGAGTGGAGATGAGATTAAGAGGGAAGATGAGAGGGGAGGATAGGAGGGAAGAATAACAAAGCTGAAAAAAAAAACTAAAAATTGAAATCTATTTGAAATTATTTTTACTTTTGCAAGAGGATGGAATTTTTTATATGATTATTTGGTTGCATTTATCCTTGTTCAATTAGATTGTATGTTATTGACTTGTCATATGGAGAGTTCTTCTTTTATTTTTGCTATCATTTCTTTATTGATGAAAATGACAATAAATATTAGGGTTAATGGTTTTATTAGTCCCTGAATTTAGAACCGATTTGCATTTGAGTATCTCAATTTCCAAAATGGTATCCATGGTCCTTCAACTTCATTTTCGTTAAGACAAATGATCCTGTCGTCAATTTTGTTAATTTTTATGTTAAATACAGGGGTAAAATGGTATTTTTATATTTTTATAATTTTAAATTGATTAAAATATGAATAAAATATTAAAAACAAACAAAAAATGGTAATTTTGTCTTTTTTTTAAAAAAAAAAGCTTTGGTGAAATAAATATCAATAAAATATTTAAATTCAATTAAAACCTATCAAATAAAAATCAAAACAAATAAAATTTCAATCCCTCTCTCCTTCCAGTCCAGCCCAGAATCTCTGCAACTCCAGCTCTCCCTCAATTCCCATCTCTGCAACTCCAGCTCATCCCATCTCTGCAATACACCCTTTAAACCCCAAAATCCAGCGAGTGAGACCTCCACCTAAACCTCAACCTCAACCTCGCGCCAAAGCAGTCCTAGACCCCCACCACCCAACCCCCCTCCACCTCGACATGCATCAAAACGTCGTCTTGTTGGACAACGGCGGCGACCTAATCAAAGCAGGACTCGGCGGCGAGTGCGACCCCTCAGCCGTAATCCCCAACTGCGGTACACCATCGACCGCGGCTACCTAATTAACCCTGGTCTCTCAAGGAATGCCAGCAGTTGCTGCCGCCCTTTTGGCTGCACCACTCTCAAAGTGCCGCATCACAATAATATTAGAGTAACCCTCAACAGTTCTTATAGTGTCTGGAAATCAAGTGCCCATATTATATTACAACCAAATTGTAGCAGAGGTGGAGAGAGAGAGAGAGAGAGAGAGAGAGAGAGAGAGAGAGAGAGGTGGTGGAAGCGGGGATGATGAGATGGGGGTGGGGAAATTGGAATAGGGTCGGGGACGATGAGATTTTTTGGGGGAGGGGGTCGGGGACGATGATTGATTTTGATTTTGAATTTTTTGTTTTGTGTTGGTTTTTTATTTAATTTTCTTTTATTGTTATTTTAAAGATATAATTTTTTTATTTATTTTTTGGGTTTTAATACAAAAATACCATTTTATCCTTATATTTAACAGAAAAGTTAATAAAATTGACGACATGACCATTTTTCTTAACGAAAATGAAGTTGAAGGACCATGGGTATCATTTTGGAAATTGAGGTACTCAAATGCAAATCGGGTCTAAGTTCAATGACTAATAAAACCATTAACCCTAAATATTTTCTCTTGATGAATATATATGATCCAAAATGAGAGGGTTAACTTCAAGTAATCTTAAATTGTTAGTTGACTTGAAGTCAAAGACGTATGTGTTTCTTATATTACTACATATACAAGTATATGCAATGTCATTGTTGCCGTCCGCATCTTTTTTGATTTACTAATCTGGTGATGTTATTAATCATGGATCATTGGAGTTTATACATAAGACCATTTCCAAACCTTTTCTTTATTATTCTTTAGGGATATGTGTTTGTGCAAATATCTTGTGGGAGAATATTCGCTTGAAGATCCTT